AGGAGCTGAGGTGGGGGCTCACCCTGGCCCAGGGGCTGAGCTGGGGGCCCAGGGGCTGAGCTGAGGACCCAGGGGCTGAGGTGGGGGCTCAGGGGCTAATGGGGGGCTCCCCCTGGCCCAGGAGCTGAGGTGGGAGCCCATGGGCTGAGCAGGGGCTTGCCCTGGCCCAGGGGCTGAGGAGTTATCCCAGGGCTGAGGAGGGTTTGCCCGGTGAGGAGGGGGTTATCCGAGGCCCAGGGCAGAGACACACATTGCTGCCCATGGAACCTGGGCTTTCAGGGTCACAGGGGGCTTGGGGTACCGTGTTATGGCTTCTCTGTTCCCTGGGCCCAGGGTTTGCCCGGTGAGGAGGGGGTTATCCTAGGCCCAGGGGCTGAGGGAGAGCTGCTGCCCATGGAACCTGGGCTTTCAGGGTCACAGGGGGCTTGGGGTACCGTGTTATGGCTTCTCTGTTCCCTGGGCCCCTGCAGTAATGCTCTAATTTCTTGCCTGTAAAATAAACTTTGGGGTCTGTGCCTTGGTTCCAGTGTTTGTGTTTTCCTGCTGGGAAAGCCTCAGGAGAGGGAAGGACCCCCCCTGAGTGTGTCTGGGCCAAGGGGGGCCTGTGAGGAATATTTTGGGGAGCTTTCACCCCTGCAGTAATGCTCTAATTTCTTGCCTGTGAAATAAACCTGTGGGGTCTGTGCCTTGGTTCCAGTGTTCAGGTTTTCCTGCTGGGAAAGCCTCAGGAGAGGGAAGGACTTCCCTGAGTGTGCCTGGGCCAAGGGGGGGCCTGTGAGGAGTATTTTGGGGAGCTCTCGTGCAGTTTGAGGAGCTGAGTCCCCTGCTCCCCAATTTTGGTATAGTTTTGTTGCTGTAGGGGATTATTTGTGGTGCTGTCAGGGCTGTGTGAATTATTGGTATGTTATAGCTACTGTCAAAGCAGTTTTTGTTAATGGTAGTTCGTTAAACAGCTTTAACTTCACTGAACGGCCGAACCATATTTGATGTGCAGTTTGTCTTTGGAAAATCCTTTAGGGTGAATTTGGGTTAATAAACCACTGAGAGTGTAGAAAGGCCTGATCTTTATCACAACATGATTTATGTGTTCAGTATTTGCCTTTAGTTTAATGAGCCACTTGGGAAAAGTGGTAAATCTGAGTCTGTTTAGCGGGGTCTACTGCCCAGGGGTGTAGTGCAGTTTGAGGAGCTGAGTCCCCTGCTCCCCAATTTTGGTATAGTTTTGTTGCTGTAGGGGATTATTTGTGGTGCTGTCAGGGCTGTGTGAATTATTGGTATGTTATAGCTACTGTCAAAGCAGTTTTTGTTAATGGTAGTTCGTTAAACAGCTTTAACTTCACTGAACGGCCGAACCGTATTTGATGTGCAGTTTGTCTTTGGAAAATCCTTTAGGGTGAATTTGGGTTAATAAACCACTGAGAGTGTAGAAAGGCCTGATCTTTATCACAACATGATTTATGTGTTCAGTATTTGCCTTTAGTTTAATGAGCCACTTGGGAAAAGTGGTAAATCTGAGTCTGTTTAGCGGGGTCTACTGCCCAGGGGTGTAGGTCAAACAAGGCAGGAGTTTTTGAGGCTTTCTCCTCTAGAAACTTGAGTGCCAGCTCAGACTTAAGGTTAATGTGAAGACAAAGCTGGCACTTTTTTTTTTTTTTTTTAAAAAATTACCGTCCTTGACTTTATTTTTTCCCCCCCC